GTAGAGACGCAAAGGGTGGTCATTTTGAATCTGGGTAATTTTGTTATGTTGCTAAGACTATTGTGCTCCTTCAGTTGCTAACTTGTTGTTCAGGGGTAAATATTAAAGAGCTGCTGCAAAAATGCTAATGGACAGGACTTTCTGGTCACCCTGTATATGCATATTTTTTCGATACACTACAAGGAAGTACTTGAATTAATTTAATAATGTAGCTGTGATGCATTCCATTTTTAAATGCTTCTTATCACACCCCCCGCACCAATGCCAGATTAAGTGAATCATCAGCCTATTAAGATAAGGAAGGTCGTCCGCATGTCCTTTTTTTAGTCCGCATGGGTTAGAATAGCCACTCTCGCGTGCGTTAACCGCGTATTTATTCTCTTTGTCTTTACTTCACCTACAATGCACTTAAGGAGCGCAAGAACGACATCTGCTCGACCGTCAAGAGCAGAAGTTGTATCAGGCAGGTAATGTGAGATTAAGAATTAAATGTGCACCGCACGACCGTCAGCCGCATCCAGTGCGTGACGGAGTTATGGTAAACGACGTGTGAGATTTCATTCTCAAACTTAGAGTGGTGCCTCCCAAACCAAACGAGACGACCTCGGTCGATATCGTTGGAGTGACACGGCTGGGGGACTCGAACGAGGAGAAGAAAGCAGTTCACCCGGATCCCATTACGACGGACGGCTGCGACGCTTGTACCCGAGGAGCTCTTCGACCCTGACTCCGTTGCCGCAAGCAGAAGTTTCGTTAGAAAACCCAGAGCAGAGTCCATTACTGACGCTTCCACTGCGACGGCCGCGTGATGCGAAGGTGATTGACTGGGACCTGAGCAAGCCACAGGACGGGGAATTTGCGAAAAAAAAAAGTTTAATGTATCCCCTGTATGTAACCCATCAATGATAGTGAACTTGTCACCAAATATTTATTGAGCCGCAGAAATTTTGACTCCGTCACCAGATCACAATTTGAAGTCAGTCATCCAATTATTATTTTGGATTTCACCAAATACGATCACACCATTACGGGTACTGTTACCAAATTTACATTATCTCAGCAAAAATATGATCTTATCACAAAACTGATTCATTAGTCAGGAATTGCAATCATATATAATAACGGATTTTTTTCACTTCTGGTTAGAGCTGTGATGACAAGATGAGATTGTAAGATCATATCATGCTTGAGGGGGGCTTCAGTGAAGGACCTGTGTAACCAGTCGTGCTTGTGGACGTGTATGGAGCTCATTCTTCCAGTTTCTGTGTGCTCCACGCATTAGAAATGCCTTGACAACTACAGACTTCGAGGACTTCCCGAGCTCAGTCAGCAGCCCTAAAACTCAGCGACCCTCTCAAAGATATAATCAGCAGCTCCTCTCACCCGTTCTCGTGAATGACCTCTGGAAGACTTCCACGAACTTCGGGTCGGTCTAGGCCAGGGACGTCAAACTGTAGGCCTACTACTTGATTTCATCAGGCATGCAAAGTCCTCTTCAACAGTTGGTTTTGGAAAAGTATAGACTTTTTTAACCATGGTGGTAATTGAAACTTTGGTGTAAGATTTCTTAATGTGGATCCAACCACTCCTGAAGGACTCCATGAGGCTTTAATTAAGTTTGAGATTTCCTAGCCTAGGCTAAGCGTGCAATGAAGTGGGTCTTTCTTGGGAGCGGCTCAGCTAGCTAGCCCGGCTCCCAGCACTTGAGACATCATTTTAAGGCTTAGCTTCTCAGCGTTCTCATAGTTCGCTACGTTTCGCTTGCAGCTGCTTGCCCAATATTGACGTCATTCAACAACGTGGTCGTGCCTAACCAAGGTGTCTTTTTCGCCAGCAGCTGCTAGTGACTGGAGAAAAAGACGCGCCCACGTAGTCGGGGTCGCCAAACCGCCGCATCATGATAATCAAATGTGAAATTTTTACGATTGCGTCACCATATCTATTGATTGGACATGAAGGTCATTGGAATACGTTAATGATTGGTTCATTCTAGGATCTGTACTCCCTTCGGTAGAATGATTTGAGCCTTTCATTACTAACTGAATGAACGGGATGAGGTAGTCCTTGTAAGCAGCCATGGTGTGTTTCTAGCCTTTACAACTAGTGCAAGCATCCCCCTTGATTGGCCCCGCCTGACATCAAACTCCAATGAACCGCTTCATTCTTGGAGTTGCATCCTCGTACTTTTTACAGCAACGAAAGTAAGGTATTCTCTGGAACAGTGTCTATTTTCCCCTTGTTCTTAGGCAGCGCTTGCAAATTAAGCAAATTAACCTGCATATTGCACAAAATACTCTGGACTTTGGCAGCACGTAATGGGGGGCCCTGCTGAAAAAACTTCACTTCAAACTCATGAGGTCTCATGAGATCTCACGACTTTCTCATGAGGTTGTCCGAATATCTCATGAGGAAATCCTCATGAGGTACTTAACGAGATCTCACGACCTCATGAGGCTTCGAAACGTCCTCATGAGGATCGAGGCCTCATGAGACCTCTTGTTCGAAAACATCATGAGAATCTCATTAAGTTTTTTCAGCAGCGGGGGTTGAAGGACGGGGAAACCCTTTGGAAAATGGTTTTTATACTACTTCATGAAGGCTTTTAAAGGATGGCATGATATCATCAGTATTGCAGCCTCGACCTTAATAACTTGAACCGTCATTCCACCGCACCACGCCGTTGGCCTACTTCAGGCTTATCGCAGGCTGCTGAAGAGTGTCTGACGTTTTTGACTACCTCGGCGCAGTTTGCGTTCTCTTACGCCTATCTCTTCACGCGCTTCTCGACTTTTCTACGACTGCCTCTTGAAGGGTTTCCGGTAGCTCTCGACTTTATTTAAACGTGACGTACGTGTTTTGGGTGCGACGCTTCAAATAGATATGAATTTTGAAAAAGGTCACTTGTGGAGACTCAGGAAAAACGGAACACATATGAAAAGGCGAAACAACATCTGTGAGAGGGGGGTTGTGACAAGTTGATAAGACAAGCAGAAAAGTGTGGGAGGAGGTTTCATGGATAAAAAGACAACGTGCCGTGCCCGACCGGGGTGAGTCTATCGGGTCTATGGTTCGTACACATTTGGACTCTGATTTCTGGCATCCCCATTCTAGATGAAGCCTGTCGACCAGCTCAAGGGCTGGGATGTAAAGACATGCAATTTACCGAACGTGCTGTTGATGGACAGAGAGGGTGCACCTACTTGTCAGTGTCAAGATAATCTGGAAGAAGCCATCATTTGCTGTGAGGTTTTGTAGCCGGACAAGTTGGACGCCCCCAGCTTGCCTGGCTGTAATATGCAGGGTGTCCCTTAAGTCACTATCCCATTTCAAACTGCAATATTTTCCAATCTGCAACATGCAGGTCACTGTCGTTGGTTTTGATGGAAAGAACGTTCTTTAGGATATTTTTCATGACAATGACTTTGAATCAGACTCAAGCGGAAATAGTTTTAAATGCATATTGAAAATGCATATGAAAGGTTTACTTGTTTTAGGGACATTTTTGGTACACCTTGTGTCCTCTTCTACAAAATTGCTAAACTTTGTCTTTCTCTCCCAATTTCAGATAGACTTAAGAAACTTGATAAAATATTATTTCATTTAATTTGCTTTCACTTTCATGAGAAAAGGCTTCGCAATTAACGCTGGAGCAATGTAGAAAAGTTGCAACCTGGATGGAGTTCTTTAAGAGTCCCATCAGAGTTCAAAGTGAGTTCCGGCGAATTTTTGGTGCTGAGCCTCATGCCAAATGTATTGATGCATGCAGGGGGCATTTTGAGGTACTTTCAAAACTCAGAAATGTTCTTTTTTTACAATGATAATTTCAAATGGCACGATATCTTTCCGTTAATATAACTTCTTTTTTGCATGAACTGTTTAGTAAATGTGGGTTTTTGAAATGGTACAGTGACTTAGAGGACAACCTGTACATTACTTTGGTTCATGCACAAGATTCTGGATGTGTACAATGCTGTCAACATGAGCACTACTGATATTTCCCTCGTTCGTTTTAGCTCATCTTAACCACTATCTTATTATATTATATTATTGCTGAACACGAAATCTCTAGAAAGCAGATTATAGTACCTCCGATCTGGTTCTCGAGTGGCAGCAATGCGGAAACGAGACCGACAGCCGCATCTCCAGTGATTCCTCAGTTTTGCGAGAACTCTGTCGGACCGAGGCAGTCAAAACTGACACCAAGAACGCGAAGCCTTCGGTTGAAAGCGTTCACATAATCCTCTTCTGTGGCCACGATCTGTGAGTTTTGACCGAAAGAAGCAGGTCTCAGATACAAGCTTCTTCGATGAGTTTCTCCCGGTGGATGGCCAGTGTAACGCCGTAAGTTTAGACACTTGTGCCGCATGCCTACTTGCCCCCCACCAAGGCTGTGAGGCATCTTTGACTGGTCCAGGATTTCAACATGATACATGATTATGAAGAAGGAGTAACGATGATTATTTTTCGGATTTCTCCGTCTGGTTTCGTGTTCTTTATTTTAATGCTTTCTTTTGGGCCAAGGAAAGGAAAATGGGGTGGGATTTAGGGTAGGTCCGAGCTGGTGCTCCCTTGGTATTGCACTTGGTTTCCATGGGGGCCCAGCCACCTCCATCCCGGAAACTGGACTAACCATCCAGGCCAAACCCTAAGCAGATATACACCAATATGACTGGATAAACATAGGAAGCCTATTTTGACTCTTCTGTGTAACCTGATTCGTAACCTCGAGGTGCGAGCAGTCGCATAGGGAAATATGGGTGGAAAGGGTTCATAACTCGGGTTGGCCAAATAACGGGCCTTTTTCGTATACTTTAAATATTCATCGTTGCCTGTGCTGTTGTTTTCATCACGTATTTTGACCTATAACTCTGAGAGCGTCGACCGGAAGAGTGACTGCCGATTCCGTAGAGCTTCCAGCAAGAAACCGTCTAAAGTTATTATTAACATTATATAATCATGCTTACAACCTTGATAGGTTTAGGTTAAGAGGCCTTTAAATAAATTCATATTTATTTTATACCGTTACCTAAAGTGTTATACTGTGCAGGCCTTTACTCTTTTTAATTTCATATACCTTTAATTAATCTCATTTTCCTTTATCATTATTAGCTATTATATAAACCTTACTTAATAATAACTTTAGGAGGTTTCTTTTTTATCAGTTTCTAGGAATTAGCTTGAACACACTTTTGGGTGTTAAAGCTGGTTTTTCCTCACACGACTGCTCTCACTTTCTTCGATTGGGAAAATATTTTCAATGAAGGATCACAAACTTACTTGAAAGTCAGAGAACATGGGACACAAAAAAAAATGAATTACTTATTCCTGTTGAGGCAAGATATTGTTCAGAGAATAATCCTCAGATATGGAGGATTTTTCCCACACCAAGGTGATTAATAGAATTAGAAAATGTGAAAAAAGGTTGAAGTTGATCCAGAATCGTCAACTTAATCTGAATTCAGGAGTGGATGTCGAATTTGAAGCATTAGCATACTACAGTTTTGCCTTCTAAATGCTGTACTCGAATGCTCTAATTTAATGGAGTACAGCGTTTAGAAATGAAAGAAATTATGTACTGGAGCCATTATAGGTCCCAGTATATAAATCTACTCTGAGACCTTCTAGAACATATACCTCGTATATAGTTATATGGAAGAATTTTTGCCGTTCATAATGAAAGAAAAACTCACGTCCCTCATTTCCATTTGTGAGGCAATTGATAACGTCTTCCCGTTCTTGTATTAATTTTGCACTGGCGAGCGAGATCTTGAGACCTGTGCAACGCTTCACGAATTAAACATCTCATGCTGATATTTAGAGAACACTGAACTTAACTCTGTCCGTGAAAGCTATGTCTTGGTTCATTGCACATTTTTTTAGACTCATTCAACAATTGCAAAACTGCTTTAAACACCATTTGAAGCTTAAGCTACTGAGAGAATTAGATTAAGAACGACTTTTGTTCTCTGTGGTAGAGGGGACAGCTGGGACTCCTTGCAACGAAACGGCAGAGTGTGTGGCTCATGCTACCTGCGATAATTATGAATGCACATGCGATGAAGAACATGCGCCTGATGATGAAGGGCTATGCAGTAAGTCAATATCTTCCTTTCAGCACTGCCTCTACATGATGGGCCCTAAATATTCACACCAAATTGTCTTGTATATCCTGTACTAATAACTTCTCATGGAATCAATTGAATTTCAACAAGCCACAAGGACTCACAGTAATTATTCACAATATATTTTCGATGTTCTTGAGGACTGGTCAGCTCGGGTCCCCAATTGGGGACCCGAGCTTCCCCCAGATGGCAATGGCAGCAGCAGCAGGCCCACGCATTGCCTGCATAAGGCAGCATGCTCTACTTCTAGTCTTTCTTTCTTTAACCATGGGTATCCAGTGTTCTCTCTGGAATATGCTGCAGTTCGTAGGTGAATGGCCAGGTTTATACGGTGTTTTTCACCTGACACGAGAATCCTGAGTCAAATTCAAATTTAGAATTGTCTGACTAACACGAAAGCACTTTAGCTGGTACTTTGCCAATACAAGTTGTAGGTAGGTGTTCGTTTTCCATGCTCCAGCTCGGCCTTGCCATCAAATAATCCACTTCTAACGTGTGGACACTGCCGCATATAACCCCCACAACCCAGCAGAGTTGACTATTGACTGAAACTATTATTTATTTTGAACTTGGTAATTGATTCACATACCATGATGAAATAAATATTGATATATACCATGACCATAAAATTGCACAAGTGGGAGGAATTTAGGACTACTGATGTGTAATGTGTAGGTGTTAGTTTTGCCTGTTTTCTACTTTTAGCGGTTTTGTTGATCTTTTGTTGTCATTGATCTGTCTTGTTAAAAATGATTGACACAATATATAAATGTGAATAACTCTAGTAAATAATTAAATTTTGTGGCTTGAACATCCCAAAGGAAGGGAAGTCAAATCACTATCGTGAATGACGCTGTCCACAATGTCTTGATACAATGAAGTTCCAGGGTTTTGAAGTTTGGTGTTAACATGCTTCTCCACCTTGGATCCCAGATCATAAAGAATGTTGGTTGGATATGTGAGCCCTCCATGATATTTGAGATGCTATAACTGTGAGTATGGAATATGGCAGCACATAGTCCCTTCAAAGTGTTTCTGCAAAATCGCATTTGATTGACATTCCCACTTTTCACGCTACAAATCCCATCAGATAGAAAACAATGCAGTCAGCTGGTGTTGGATTAGAATAGTCACGATCATGTGATCAGTTGTATCTTCCACAATGGATTCAGAATTGTCTAATAGAACTGGATCTTTTGCCAGGAGGTCCACTGGATTTCCAGTTATAGTTTAGTGGATATAAAACCTTTTCATTTTCAAAAGCAGTTCCGACTTTCCAAACTGCATATTGCATCTCTTGAGTGGTTTGATGAGGTTATGAGATGACATTAGACGGTAGATGTAAATAAACTTATCAATTGTGGGATGATCGTCAAATTCTCTCATTCAAAGGAGAAGTTCCCACACAACTCTTGGGAGAGCCTTTTTTATTTTTCAAGTTCTTCCACACTTTGGAATCGCAAATGGGTCGAATTTTTCCTTGCATGTTTTATACCCAGTGTTACAATTCGGAACACACCCTTTTCTTTAGCAAAATGCCCAGGAAATGCTACTTTCATGATGACTCAGGACTGGTAGGCATATGATAGTTCCATTTAACATTTTCTAAGGCGAAGTTAGGCCTACTTCCTATATATCATAGCTAAGGCTGTACCGATGTATTGGCTACCCCCGGTATCGGCTGCCGGTATTGCGTTATCGGTACCATCAGCCGGTGTGGAAGCTGCCGATGTCGGTGCCTAAAGGAGAGGCAAAACTTACAAAAAATAATTATAAGGTTAACGTTTGAACCTGAAAAATATCGATCTGATTGTATTTCAGCCATATTCTAGTAACTGGCGGAGGTGAATATCGAAAAAGTACGGGGAATTATTGCGCCTCCTTTTATGTTATGCTTTTGCGAGAGCTGGATCGTTGAACGCTCTTAATCCAGAAGTGCCAACCGTCGATAAATTCGACGCTGGTAGGCCACCCTGCTGCTTCTGGCACTTCTATGGTTAACAGCAGCAATAAGTAACAAGCTAACTACTGACGGACATAGACCGACAGTACTAAATATGGTCTCTATCGTTTTTAGGGGGTCCCCTGAGAAGTATTACATGGCTTCCAAATAGGCCTATTTGCATAAGTATGCAATTTTAAGTTACTTCTCAATTTTCAGGCGACAATCGGCACCGGCCGATGGTTATGGGATGAAAATCGGCCCACCGGCCAAAGGTGGCCATCAGGACAGCCCTAATCATAACATAATGTTGAAGAAAAAAGGTTAAAACTAAGCATTAAGTGTTAAAGATACAATAAACATTCGGCTCTATCCAAGGAGATGATTTAGCAAAGACTCTTCCGCTATACATAGCTACTCTATTATAGGTTTTAGTATTATCCTAAGTCTATATCATCCGGACAGGATGAGGTCTCACGTTGGGCAAAGAACGGAGTGCGGGGGTTGCCTAGGCAATACGGTTAACGAAGCTCTAACGATAGTTTCTCTGCTCGTGTTGGTCTTAACGTGAAGTCAGAGGCTACCCGGACCTTCATGGGCATGGGCTGAGTCCTGTGACCATAGCTATCTATGGATCATGTTAGTACTCATTCAACAGTTTCAAAACTGCTTTAAATACCATTTGAAGCTTAAGCAACCGAACGAGTTTAGAATTAGATGAAGAATGACTGTTTTGTTCTCTGTGGTAGAGGGGACAGCTGGAACTTCCTGCAACGAAACGACGGAGTGTGTTGTTCATGCCAGCTGCAAAGACAACAATTGCACATGCGAAACAGGGTTCACGCCGGATGACGGAAGACTATGCAGTGAGTCGACATTTTCATTTTTCCACTGCCTATGCTCGCCGTATAATTTATACCCTAATTTTCTTGAAGATATTCAAATTGTAGATAACATCGAAATTCCGCAATTTTTAAGGGAAAATCTCATATCTAATAGAGGAAATTAAGCCATTAATTATTCTTTCTGTTTATTCTGTAGTGGACAGCGTCATTTTTGGTTTTGATTATGGCTTTTCAGTCACGGTACCTCATATCTCGAAACTTCTGGTGCATGCAGTCAAATCAAGGGCACATAATCTCTTTACTTTTTCCTTCTAGCGGTGGAACATGCGACTGCTAGGGCAGAGTTCCTCTGTAATTGTTTAACCAAAAATGCATACTTTTATTTTGCCTGTATAATTCATGCGCGAAAGGGTTAAAATATATACCCTTCTCTTTTGGGGGGCAGGGGTGTGCTCATTTTATTCGTTTACGAAAAACCCTCGCCCCACAAACACAATATTTGAAGTGATTAACAACGTCTTCCCGTACTTCAGCTCGTATGGGACCAGTAGACGAAATTGCGCGAAGCTGCTATCGTGATATCAGTGCAACATTTCACATATTGACCATTTCTTGTTGATATGTGAGCAACATTGATTTGAGCTCTATCCGTTGAAGCTATTGTATAGGTTTTTTGTATATTTTTTCAATATTTGACAGTTACTAAGCTACTATAAAATTCAGTTTCAGCTTAAGCCACGGAAAAGGGTTTAGAATAAGATTAAGAGTGACTGTTCTGTTCTTTGTGATAGAGGGGACAGTTGGAACTCTTTGCACCGAATCGACGGAATGTGTGGCTTATGCCAATTGCACTAATGGTGAATGCACATGCAATGAAGGATATGAGCCTAATACAAGTGGGCTATGTGGTGAGTGAACGTTTTCATTTCTGCACTGGTCCGCCGCGTAATTTGTGCTACAGTTTTCTGGAAGAACCTCAATCCAATTGGATAATGTTATTATTGAGAAATTCTCTATGTAATGCTTCTCCTTGGATTACTTTGACCTTCCTCCATCAAATTGCGAGAAAACTTCGTCCGTAATAGAGGAAATGTAGCAGTCAAATATTGTTTGTTTATTCGAGTTTTTGAACCTAACAGATATTGAAGTGATTTGCGAGAGATATCTGGACTATGCAAAAAATTTTCATTTTTGCAATTGGCTGTATTTTTTCGAAGAGGAAGAATCAACTTAATAAGTCACATCCTGCCCGTGTGCCGATGTACGCGAATTCCCTTTCATTATTCATCATTACCTCTATGTCTGATGGCATATGCAGGAATTTCAGTTCCTCAACTCGTTCTACATGGGTCCATGCCTATCCTGTCAGTGTTAGCGCGCACCGGAGGCAAGAAAATTATATATCTGCGGAGAAGGCGACAATGGAAATACCTGTGGGAGACAGGATTTTCTTTGCCATTCGAGATATTGTGTAGTATTGTATTTACAGGGTGGTTGGAAGTAAGTAACTCCTTATTTTAAAATTGCAGTAAGTTTTGTTCATTTGGACTGCAGCGATTTTTTTTGCCAAAAGTAAGTTAATTCTCTCTTGTTTTCAGTGAGGTTTTATGATACCATTGACTTGTTTGTTAGCTGTGGTCTTCCGTGCTCCAAAAATTAAATCTTCCACACCATGCGCCAATAGCTGCACGGTATGAGGTGTGGAGGAGATAAGAAGTTGAAATTCCCAAGGCGTTCTCCTTCCACCACTGGACCACTGGATTACTGTTTTGCAACCATTATACTCCAATTTAATTGAGGTTGTGGGAAGGAGCCTAGACCACATCTTGTAAATGTGTTTATTTTAAAATTCCAGCTGTTCTGGCTAATGGATGCTGGATTATAAGGGCAACAATACCTGATAAATCATCAGTCTTATTTGCATCCGGCAAAATATGTTCTATGTTCCTCGTTTAAAGAAATTGCTGCAAGTACCCTCATACTTTAGCGAGAAAAAAAAAACGGAGAAAGCGAATACACCAGTTATTTTGGTTTACTTTTTAATCCTTTTTTTAAGTACACTTTTTAAAAATAATTTCCTGAAATGAAATAATTTTAGTCACTTACTCTTTCTTCAGGTGTATGGTAGGAACATCTGTTTAGCATGTGACTAGGAAGTACTTACGCCCTTCCATCTTATTTACTGGTATTTGTGATACGGATTTTTTGTCTCTCTCAATTTGAAACGCTCCGAAACTTTTACGAATTTTTATGTCTGTCTGATTTTTTGTCTTCACACTAACCATTTAAAAAATTATATTTTCCTTCGCAGAAGAGGCGGATGTAGGGACCTTCGACGAGATATGGGACCAAGTGAGTTCTCACGCTAGGAAACTAATTCCATGAAAAAAATATTGTTCTCCCAAAAGTTTGAGAGCTTAAGTATAAGTAGCTGTGAAGAAGAGCATTTACGAGTATATTGCTACAATTGAAGACAGATGGGTGACAGATGTAAGGAAATGATATTTTTTTAATGCATGTTTCCATACTCAGGCGTATGCTAATGCAGAATCTCCGAAACCCGACACTCATTTATTTCACCATGGTATCTTACTTCGCCGTTGCCTCATTAGTTACATGTCAGTACTCTTGAAAATGAAGTTCGTGGAAATTTTAATGCATAAGCCATTTGGCGCTTCCGCGGCTATTCCCTTTCTTGAACCCCTTCCCGTCCCAAAACTCAACCTCCTCGTGTTCCACTTCGAAAGAATCTACTCTAGAGGAACAAATTTGGGCAAGAATCGCTCCAGCAAATTTGAAGCTCCAATTCCCGTGATTGCGGATAACACTGGTTCTCGCAGTTTGAGGATGCGAATTTCATTCCGTTTTTATTTCCCCTCCCTCCCAGCTAGCCGCTCCTGAGGGGATTTCGGAGGAAAGAGATCAATCAAAAGAAAGATATCCACTATTAGGTCACAAAAAATACCGTTTTGTTGTATTTCGATGCATCAGTTCGCTATGGAAATTGAAATTAGCTGTCGTTCAATTATCGAGCTGGCTCCATTCCCGTCTCCTACCGTCGCTGGATATTGTGCTGGAGTTATGAAGGATTCACAACTGCATCTTCTTTCGTAATATATTAATGGGGAAAATTCATATTGGATTCTGACATAAAAAAGAAGAAAGAAGAATGAAGCTAGAAGTAACATTTGGGGACATAAAACACTCTTTCTGCCTCATAACTAATTATTGTAAAAAGTTTCCATGGAAAATCGAGGGAAAACCTCCAATGATTTTAATCATTGGCCATATTTTAAGACTTCGTTTCATTTTACAGCCGTCTTGGGAATACAGAACTTGCACATCAGGGTTTACTGTGGGTTCCTAGCAAATATAATATAGTTCCCGCCATAGGGGGGGGGGACTATATTCTCGCTCATTTAGTCGGCACCATTCCTATGGAAACCACATCTCGCACCTGAACCCTTGTATTATGCCCTGTTTATTTTACATTTGTAAAATTTAAGACTGCATTATAATTAGCATAAACAGTTATTTACATTTAAAAAATTTATTTTAAAACTTTTTTTCTGTGCTTCTGATACTTAAGCGCGTGGGTACATGTCACTACAGTGACATGGTCTATACATGTAATCTAGACTCCAACAGTTAGTGCACTGAAAATCCATGCTATATGTTGGAGAATGGAAGTTCTGCTCAGGCTTAAAGACTCTTGGAGAGTCTTGATGATCTAGGTCAGGGGTCTGCAACCTACGGCCCACGGGCCGTATCCGACCCGCCAAGCACGCCAAGAAAAATATATATTTATTTTATACTTCATGTATTCCTTTAAAAATCTCATACTGCCTCCTTCGGGAAGATCAGCACCACTATCAAATATAGTACTCCAGCCGGCAATAGGACCGAACCGTGTTAATCCGGCCTGATATTAGTGAAAGGCAGCCGACCCCTGACCTAGGTCTATCCCAATTGTGACCATTCATCAAAACAACTGAGGATACGAGGGTCACTGAAAGGGTCAAACTTCATTTTAATAATTTTTAAAGTTAGGAATGTATGCGTTCTCTCACCATGGAGCTGAACAGGGAGCACTTCCGCGCCATGTTCCTTAGTGATCAGACGAGTGCTTTGAATTAAGCGCAGTATATTGCCCGTTTGCATATTACGTTTTGGGCAGAGCACATGCCATTGTTATTGTTTTACGCTATTTTGCCCGAGTTTAGTTGGGAAAAGTACTAGGAATGAAGATGACCCCCGCAGTGGAAGACTTGCAACTGCTTTCACCGAAGGAAACATGCAGGAAATGGAAGCTATGATTCATGGAGACCGAATATACCATTATATTGAGGAATACCTGAACATTGGATCGGAGAATGTTGCAGAAATCCTGCATAATTTATTCGAGTCAGAAAAATCTGTTACTGTCGGATTCCCCGCAACTTTCCAGATGAACAAAAGATGGCTCGAGAGGATTGTTGCGAGTGCACGCTCCAAAATTTTCAAGAACTCACATATTGAATTTTTGACTTCGACACTGTTGAAGAGTCATGAGTTTACCGATATGACCCCGAAACAAAGAGACAATCTGTCGTTTGGGCGTTCAATGGGGACGAAATGCCCGCGAAGGTAAAGAGGGAAGGAGATGGTTGCCACGATCTTCATTGTCGGTGGTCATGTAGCGACAGTTTTATTTGAGAAATGAAAAACAGTGAAGGCCGAACGGCACACCACTGTCTGCTCGCCCAGAGTTTGCCAAAATTTGTGAGGAAAATGACCACGCCCTGGGCTCCGGGGCCACCTGCAACATTACGATTCCTTCAGCCACGTAGCTCCAAGGACTGTGACCTAACTGGTGGGAAATCTTGTTCACAAGTCAAAGATTCATTGCAAGGGAAGCGGTTTGCAGCCCAGCAGATACCATCATTGCCTATGAGGAAACAGTTTCTGAGATGCCCATGGAGGAATGGCACAGAAGCTCCAAGAGACCTCTTTATATGATGTACTGCTGTGTGGAGTGTTCTGGAGAGTACTTCGAAAAGTTGTAGCTGTTCAAATGAAAATTTATCAATTTCTACTTGCGTATCTCAAAACTTTATGAATGCCCCTCGTAGATGGTCTAGTCAAAGCTGTAATGTACTGCCGGCTGATGTCAGTTTCATTTAGCTCTCTCTGGAAAGTTGTGATAATTTGCTATTTGCACATTGAGTCATTTTCTGTTTTCAAGTCGATTTTTTTGTCCGAAATTAAGGCGGGAAGTATTCTCAAACATGTTTAGCATTTTCCTTTTTTCCTGCGGATAACGTTGTACGTTCTAGTTATAAATCAACTCGTCCTTGAGAGCGATGATTTCTCAATTAGTTATTGCTCTCGCATGACCTCAACCGCTTTTTGAATCTTAGATTTGCAGGATATTTGCCTTTTCAGGATGCACAATATATTATGATTTCCGTGCAAAAGGATAAAATACGGAAAAATCAAACGCGCATCTGCGTTCAGATACATTTTCTGTTTTCCCTTTTCGAAAAGAGTTCAAAATGAAATGTTTATTTTTACTTGGGACATTAAGGAGTTCTTGTTAATATTATCATTTTAGTGAAACGTAATGGTAAATATTAGCATTATATGCATTGTGCTTCTAGGTGGGAGACACTGATGCCCTCGATCTCCTGGATCAGTTGACGGACGAAATTGAGAATATTGGGGATGGAAGAGAGTTGACTGGGGATGAGATTGGAGATTTGGTGGATTTACTGGATGATTTGTTTGAGGACTTCTTCCTGAATTTTACCAATTCCTCTGATGCCCAAAGTCGAAGCCATGGATTTCTTACCAATTTCACTCGGGTCATCGACGAAGCACTTCTCTCCTTCAATGGCTGGCTCAGTTTGGCACCCGTAAGGTTCATCAGTGATCAACATTCAAGAAAAAGAAACGGAAATGAGTCGATAAAATTTTCTTTCAAATCGTCATTTTCATCGACAGAAGCTATTTTCCTAAATACTGCTTATTTGAGATAAAGCAATTGAGACAGTTCTCAAATGCTTGTCCTTTTTGCAAATGATATGCAAGCTTGCAATTGGTGAGGCTTGTAAGCAAATGGAAACCCTCATGGCTCATGATTATTTTTCATTTAAAAAGTCCTCTTTAATAAAGACCAAGCTGACTACTACTAGTCACTGCTAGGGCGTCATGTAGTAGGCTGCGTACATTATAAGGGCAATTGAAGGGACGTGGCAGTTCTAATGAGATTCTCCCATAGATGTCTCGAACGGGAATCTTCACAAATTTGACGTCATCCTTTTCCGAGTACGGCCTGAAATTGTCGAGCAAGCTGTTGGAATGGGGAGAGGAGCTCCAGTTCCGGAATACCACCACGGCGCTGATCGTCGAGGTCGGCAGCGGGAAGATGGAGAATTTGACCGGACCCATCGTGTTTCCCTCGTCCGATAGAGACACGTATTTCGAGTTACCGTTACCGTTGAGTTTTCGGGACAACGGAAGGGGAAAACTACACCTTTGTCGGTGTGCTCTATTATGTCCAGGATCTGAATGCACTGCTTCCAGGCAACCTGAATTCGTGAGTTGACTTTGAATGGCTCAATAACTTCATTTTGCTCAATATAAATTTTCGCAAATTATAATTAGAGTGGGGCTGCGTCGTAGAGAAAAACGAGAAGCTAGAAAGACGGACAAAATGAAAAAGTCTTGCTAAAGTAAATGAACATTTTACTCGTATAAGTCATTTCCGGCAAATAAACGAATCAGAGGCGGTTAACTGAAAGGAAGAAGAGTGGATAGGTGTTAATGAAACCCAGAGTTAATGAAGTACGAACACGCAAGTTGAGTTGGAAGTATTGGACACAAATTTCAGATTCCAAGAGGAAAAGGCTGTGAACTCGAAGCTGCTCACGTTCGCTTTGAAGTTGAACGAGACCGTGATCCTGACCGATCCAGCCACCCTGACCTTTCGAAACTCCCGAGTGCCACAAACTCCACTGTACAAAGATATTTGGCGGGATCTCCACGAAGGGGAAGACCCGGCGTTCATTCCTCGCACTCAGCAATGCGCCTTCTGGAATTTCAATGGAACGTAAGATATTCTCCCCAACGTCTTCGAATTTTGATTTTGGGGTGCAAGTCGCCATGAACGTTTTTGTTTTGCAGAGGATTTTGGGATAAAGAAGGCCTCCAAGAGGTCTCCTCAGATAACGAATACACCGTTTGTCGCACGTACCATCTGACCAATTTCGCCGTGCTCATGAGCTTGCACGGATACGTTGTGAGTCCACGTTCGCATTTTCCTTCTAAAGATAGTACATTCGAAGGATGTGAGCTCTATGCACGAGAATTCATCATAGAATTGTCAGATGCAAAAATATCTGGGCAGAGTTGGATGACAATTCCCTGTATGACAGGAATTGTAACACTATAAGACTTTTTTTTAATTACAGGGCCGAGGTTGGATTCTGGAACTGTTTACCATGACGTTGTTGCCCTGTTCCATCATCTGTCTGGCAATGGCAATATTCCTCTTCCAGAAGAGCAAGTTCGTTCAAACGATTGTATCACGCAGTAGAAAATCGTCGACAAATTCAATTGTAATATCTTTGGTTGCTCGATGTGCAGGAAGTCCACGAAAGAACAAAATCTGGGGCTGAACATACATCAGCAGCTGTGTTTCTGGTTGCTCCTCGGATACCTTCTCGTGTTTCTTGTCATCGACCGCCGCTTCTTTCTAATACCACCAGTACGTTTCACCTGATTCTCCCGATCACTGAATACTTGCTTTGTTATATGGTGAATGCAACATGGTTATTTAGATGGTGTGTGAGATATCGGCAGTGTTCCTCCACTTCGTGTTCCTCTCCTGCTTTGCGTGGATGGCCCTCGAAGGATGGCGACTGCACACTCTGCTGCACATGGTTAAGAGAATGAACCTTTCCCTTCGGGTTAATCTCCTTGTTGGATACTCGGCTCCTGTCTTCGTTGTCGGCATCACGGCTGCAGTTTCCTTCGGCACGCAGACGCACGGATACGGCGAAGGGGAATTGTGAGCAATTGCGTTTTCCCCTAGTAAACTGGCCTTTCATAGCCAGACTGTGCTTTTCATAGCTGTAACATGCATTTGTAGCTGCGAAAATATGCAAATATGAAAATATGCATTCCCACCAATGAAATGCAAGAAATTTAGGTGAATCCCGTCGAACACTAATGGAAACAGTTCAACCCAAGTGTCCTTGGGGGGGAGAAGCCTTTGTTTTCTGTGTTGATGGAAGGTGTGCCTCATTGAAGGAAAAAAAAAAGTGCCAACAATGTTTGTGTTCACTCTCTTCGTTCCCTGTATATTGGTTCTTCCAGCCTATAGGGTGAATGTACTTCTATACTGATTCCTGAGTACATATTTCTGAAATTAAAAAGTAAGAGTGGATTTTTGAACAGAGAACTATCCGATAATGCTGCTTTATTTCCAGGAAATCTACCCTTAACCTAAGTTAGAGGAGAACTCAACTGCGCATTTTAACAACAGTGTTGTCTCACCACCGAAGTACTACAGTTCAGGGGGCATCTCATGTTTGCAAGACCATGACGACGTGAATACGTTTTCTATTACTTGAATTCTTGCTAAATGCATATAGACCTCATGTTGACTCGATTGTGTTCCTTAGAATTGAAAGTCTGAAGCACTGTGGATGCATCCCCGGTAAGATCATGTGATGCATTCATATCGGTTAAAATTGTTCCGTATCTCAATCAGGATTCGTAATAATTACCAATGTGGCAAATTAAAATTGTTTACGCTTCTTGGTTTCACGATTATAGCTGTTGGCTCTCATCGCCCTATTACATCTGGACGTTTGCCGCTCCAGTTCTCTTCGTGCTCGTTGCCAACTCCATCCTCATGATCCGCGTGATAAAGAAAGCCAGGGCGCTCAGCAGGCTTCCGACGGGGATGCAGAGGCATCAGGTGCAAAGGAGCCACAAGTGCGTTTATGAGTTCGATGAAGCATGACCAATCACGTTGAGTTCGCTCGACCTTCGATTCTGACGTTGTGACGTGGATGCAGGAGCAGCATGGTGCGGATCCTCTCTCTATCGAGTCTCCTCGGGATCGGCTGGCTGTTTGGCGTCCTCCAGATGGAGGTGTCGCCTGCCTTCTCCTACTTGTTCGTCCTCATCAACGGGAGTCAGGTAAGCGTCGCACACTTCATGCTTTCCCTTCACTCTTTCATCGGAGCCGTGTTGCTTGGAGGAAGTTAAACGCGCATTTATAAGGATTTCGCAGTGGCTTCCGTGTGATATTTGTTCGTAGTTCATCTGAAGCAGGTAAACATGCACTGAAAACCACAATGTCGATGAACACCCACGGTTCGTAAGGTCGCTCCTCCGTTCCTTCTCAAATGTATGCGACGGAAGGTGCTGGTTAAGTCTGCAATTTAAGGTGTTTCAAAAGGCTGCGATGTAAATTCCGAATTCCTTTTTTCCCAGGGCATCGGGATATTCATATTCTACTGCTACAGGCAGCCGGATATGAGGGATAAACTGAAACGTTACCTGAAGGTGAACATTCTGTCGTACATCTTCCGTCATGGACCTCCAAAGAATAAAGATAAAGTTTCCAAGTTCCAGAGAATAAAGGAAACGGCATCTTCCGCCCCGATCGGAATGGATTCGTCGAACGCCACCACATTGAGTACGGGAACGCTCATGCCTGCTAAATAGTCATTCGTTATGCAAACGTAGGAGTCACATGACATCATGTCACTTTTAGGTTAAATTTGGAAAGAAACAAAATAAAATTCACATTGTGGGAAGTCATATGTATGATTGACCCGGAAGGTGTCATCCCAACGTTCTCCTACGCATACACAGTTTATAACATTTCTGAGCAAATGTACCGATCTGGCAAGTTTTGTTCAGTTTAAAAATGGGAGGGAAAATTCAACCTTGGCGAGTATGTTCCATGCCGCATGAAAGAAATCGTCGTTTAAGAATTAAATTTCAGTCTGAGCGACTCGTGTGTGGAATAAGAAGTGATGAGGCATGGAAAGGGTGCTTCCAGCCCAGTCCAGATAAAACAGAGCTCAGCCGGGAGGGAGGGGGGTGAGACGCCTTCACGCTGTTTTTTCATCGATTCTCCGATTGTATCGTTTCGGATCACGGCTCGTTGCCTGGATGGGGTGGGCGATAATCCCTGCTTCGGGGATTATCGGCAAATATCCAAACTCATGATGGGTGGATCCCGAACTTCAGCTTCCAAAATAAAAATAAAGACTAAAAATGTTGAACATTAAAAACATTGAACACTAGATATTTTTTTATCGCCGCTTTATCGTAATGTCGCATGGCGCAGTTGCACCCTTGCTCAATGGTGCGACTTGTGGTGCCAAAAATATATACATTTTATAGGAACAATGCCAATTACCTCCTGACTGGGACGACCACCGCTCTCGGAATTCAGGATTTCGCGTTCATCCGAGATCGAATCGCCGCGTGACAGCACTTCTGAGAAGCCCCTGCCGATAATCCGCCACTCGAAGGTCCACAATGAAAAACTCGCACGTCGTCTGAAAATAAGTGTTGGTATTCGCCTTTGATCCAAGCTCGACGGAGCCCGGAGACTTGGAATGGCATCGACGCGACCGCAAATGTGGCCAAACCAAGAGCCGCAGGGAATCCGTAGCAATCACGTTGCTGGTCATCGGGTCTCAATAGTTTGGCGGCGTGACGATTATGAATAACGGGGAGGAAATTTTCCACCCGGTAAGCCCCACTTGCCATTTTCGCGACGCCCCCTTTTCGATGGGCGATCGTAATTTTTATTCCCGTCTAAAATGAGGTCTTCGTCATCATGCCGTACAACAATAAAGACTGCTTAATTGCACTGACTGGAAAAATTTGTTCTATCGTGACAACGAGCTCAGAACGAACGAGCTTGCAGTTGAAGATTTCTCGTTGAAAATGTCGCCAGTCGGTCTCGCTGCGTTTGCGGAGAAGAAGGGGTATGCCGTATGTCGTATGTATGTCGTGTCACCAGTCGAGCATCGAGCGACGAATAGTTCTGTTCAAAGGCTAATCTTTGACCACACCTGTCCGGCACATCTCTGAACGAAAAGATGCCCCGAATTCCCTCTGATGACACGAGGCTCTTCCGTTTGAACCAGCGGCACCCCACGACTCGTTTCGTCCGAATGTTGACGTGTGACGTGAGTGACGCCGTGAATGACGTCACGAATGACGCGAATCCGAACTTTCGCAGAATCCTCTCCGACGGGATGAGGAGGCGGAAGACACTTCTGGTACCTCGAGTGCTTTCGAGTACCTCGAAAGAAGTCACAAAGGGAGCGTGAAGTGGCGTGTATCAGTCGAGAGCCCCGTTTCGATGCGCAAATACAGATACAGGGTGCGTAAGAAGTTCTGTTACAAACGTTTCTTTGCCAAAAACAACCAAAGCAACAAGAACGACAACTTCAAGTGATAATTTATTTAGTACAAAGTGTCAGTCAATGTTAGGAACCATAGTTACTCGAAATGTCCGCCACGTTTGGAAATGCAAGCCTTCAATCGAGGGCGGAAAGCATAAGCTACATGTCCATACAAGTCACACGCCCATAGGCTTGTAAAAGATTCTACCCGGGAGACATTCTATGTGAGTCCAAAGTTTGTAACAGAACTTCTTACGCACCCTGTAAATGTCGCATTTCTCTTTCGATTGACCTTGGCGTTTCAAGTCCTAGTCAAACTCTGAAAGAGGGAGGGGCGAAAATCTCGCTTTCGTATCTTCGCGAGGGGGATCGAGGTTAGATATTTTCTCCCTCTGGTCTAAAAATACTGTACAATATGCGCAATATAGGGGTTGTGGGGAACGATGACTCGAGAGTGTTTGAACAGGCTAGAGCCTGACCCGTTCTTCCCTTATCGGCATCGTGAAATGCCGTTTGTTGACCTTACCTTCGTTGCCGCCCTGGAAACATGACGAGATTCAGCACTTCCTCCCTTTCAGGTGCTGTCTCGTTCGGGGAATTTCCTATTTCATGAAAGCATCATTCAGTAAAGTTGATATTCCTCCTTTTAAGAAATCCTGAATGTCAAAAGGCTGGTAATGGTAATCGAAAGAATGAAGTTAAAATTCGATCAAAGAATGTCTGTTTTAGTGGAAGTTCCCACGGTTTTGGTCGATTTCGAATGACCCGGACTACAGCAGCTTACGCTTTCCGAATCGACGGACCGACGCACGTCCGACGCCCACTCGCGGCGCAGCACCTGCATTATCTCGAAAATGGGTGTGTCTCTCGGCGTCAAAAGCGATGATCCCGATGCGAGGTGACGCACGAGGTACTTCCACTAGACCTCGCGGTACTTACTCGTCGACCCCGCTCGAGTTCCCCTCAGTCGAGATTCCTCATCAGCCCCGAGCAGTCAGTACAATGAGAGCCTCCGTTCTTCTCATCCTTGTCGCATCCTGTTGCGTTTGCCTCGCCAAGAGTGAGTTTGTGATGACGTCAGTCAGGTCGCGAAGCGTGCCGTTTCCTGAGTTTTTTTGCGTTGGGTTGGATTTTCGTAGAGGAAGACCTGGGAGACGAGTGCGAGCCGGGTCCGCAAGCGTGCAAGCCGGACAATTCCGAGTGCGTCGCTTCGGATGGGGAACCGGGCACTTTCACCTGCCAGTGCAAACATGGATTCCTGGAGGAAAACGGCGAAGACTGCAGTGAGTGCATTTCCGTCAATTTAATACAACGGGTCACTGGTTATATCCTTAGAAAACGTTGAAAGCGAACCCAGCCAATTGTTCAAAAACCAAATGCACCTGCCATGTGGATTTGGAACTAGGTGGATGTTCCCCTAGGCGTATTTCCATCTGTCCGAGAGATGTCCACCTGGTTAAAAGTCCACCCGGGTGGAACATCCACCTGACCCAAGAAACACTTGCGCGAATGACCAGGTGGATTTCCACCGGGACATCCGTCTGGTTCCAAATCCACCTGGTGTGCAGGCGGACGAAATTGTAAGACGTAGGTACGTTCCAAAAGTTATTGGCCCGAGGCACTTCATATCTAGTGGTGGTTAGCCATTTTTTATGTTTTCGGGCGGAAAAAATGAAAAATGTGGAACATGAAGGCGATGCTGCAATTTCCCAAATAAGAAAATTGATTGAGTTTAACTTTGCCACTGGGTTAAGAGGGAGCTTAGGACCGAAGATCCACCCGCTCGATCTGCAGTGACGTTGCCCAGAATGAGAAAACTCATCACTGCCAATGTCCCGATTTTGATTTTTTTTTAACGAAGTAAAAGATGAAAAGATTCAAGTCTCTGTGAAAAGCACAGAGACTTGAATCTTTCCTTTCCTTTTAATTCCTTTTGATTCGAAAGTGCCTTCTGGTCCTCTTGGAGCGCTACTCGCAGCATATTTCCATTCACGATCAGATGTCCGAGGCAGACTAAAACCAGCTCAATATTGACGACAAATTAAAAGAAACTTTACTATCGAGCATTTAGGGCCGTTAAAGAGACTCTTTCCACAAGGATGGGCCAACCCGATGAGGAAAGGAAATCCGCACTAACTGACATGCTTAGGAGCTGGAACGGATTTTCTTCGAATTCCGTTTAAAGCATTCAATGACTTGAAAATTTGTTCCAACTTTTGGTAATTAGGCGATCCAAATGAAAAATTGAAAAGGGGTAATTGAATTTCTCGTACGCTTCAAGAATGTCAGGATTGCCGGAAAAACCTTGGACTTCTACGTCTCCCTCTGGAAGATTCCCGAATCGTATTCCTGATTATATTTTTTTCGCAGAGATTGCGGCGGGCGGAGACTGCCAAAACAATAATGATTGCGTAAAACATGCCGACTGCAAGAACCACGGCGGAGGGCAGAAATCCTGCGAATGCGACGAGGGATCAGTCGAGGAAGCCGGACGATGCAGTAAGAAAAATTCTTATATCGCCGGAAAGGAAAAAAAAAATTGCTGTCTTTAAAAGTTTAAAATTCTTGGAAGAAGTCCAAGAATTCTTAGAATTCTTGGACCAAGTCGTCGAGGGATTTGGGGAAAGCAAATCCTATGAAAGGTCATAGCATATTTCTTTCCACTCCCGCTTTCGCACTTCTTTTCAGGCGAGGTGTTTAGTCACTAAGGCACTTAATACCGGTGCTGTTCCCTGCCTTAGACTTGTGGTTTTCCCACTGACCATTAAAAAAAAATTGCCTTTGGAAATAGGACTCTGGCCGATATTTTTTCGCCTTTGGTCACCTCTTTTCATTAACAATTACTTCCGCGATCTAGACGAATCATGAACGTGTCGATCTCTGGAGATTATCGCGCCTTTTCACTGTCCGGGATTTGGAATGTGCAAGTTTGGGAGAAAATCTCCAGGTTTCTTGCAAAATCTTTCCATTCATTCGGAGAAAGGAAAGAGTTTCAGTAAGTATTAGTATTTGCGCACGGAGAAGCGACTAGCAACTCGGAATTCCCATGCGCAAAGCCTTGCTTCTATCTTAGGGCCGAATAATGCTAAACTCTATTTTCGATACTGTATCATTTCTCCTGAATGGTATCATTTATCGTCTGACATTTACGTATTCCTTTCGTCGCCTTTTACTCGTCTAAAATCTGCTGCAGTCGCATCGTCGAGCCCAGCAGGAAAGAAGGCATTTCTGGCGCTTTCCAAGCTAGAGTCCACACCTTTGTCGGCATTTCGTCCTGTTACGCATCACTCTTGTGCTATGATTTCATTACATTCTTACTTGCTTCATTATCAAAATCTTTCAATGTTTCGTATTCACAGAATGACATTCATTCACACGACACGACACGACATGTGTTAGGACGGTTCAACGGAAGCACGATTTAACGAGATAATTTTAATGGCCATCCCATTCTACGACGCCAGGAGTCAGGGCTGTCTCGTGCCATCTTTTGTGCAGAGGTGCCTCCGGGAGGGAATTGCGAAGGGGATGAGGATTGTGTAGAGAACGCGAAGTGTTCGGACGGAGAGTGTCGCTGCGGCGCCGGATTCGCTGAGCAAGATCAACGATGCGGTAAGTACCTGTATATAAACAGCATCTTCGATTCTGCAAGTTTTTGGCGCATGGGGCAGCACTATTCACATTTCGGTTAAATTATTAAAAGTTAAATTTTTCGTCACCTACTCATACGACCTCTTACAGTGCCAGACGATGGACCTGGGCTCGGCGAACCCTGCGATCTAGCGTCAGGGAACTGCGCGGCGGACAACGCAGTCTGCGACCCAGCGTCCTCCACGTGTCGATGCGAGGGAGGATACATCCAGGATGGAGGCGCCTGCAGTGAGTCCAGTCTGCCCAGTATATAAAAGCTCTATATATAAGCTCTAGATCTCAGCAGTATATAAGCTCTGAATCAATTCACGGTGCCATTCTTTAGTACGTGCTTTTGCGTTAGGTATGAAAGTGAAACAGTCTCGTGCGTTTGGTGGTGAAATATCCCATGATTCTTATTCTTAAATATCGTGGAAATAAGATGTGAAAGAAGTAACACGAACGAAAGAACATGTTCCTTGGAAAAATCACTATACCCTATTCAGAATGCTAACCTATTTTGGGGGAGCTGATGATATACTCCCTCTGACGAACGTACCATTTCAAGTAAACGTGCAGCATCCTGCAACGCATGCGAGCCGTGGAATAGGGACTACCGGAATGAAAGAACCTCTGGCGTTGAACGGGATGAGGGCAAGGGTTAAAGGCAAGGTCTATTTTGCCTGCTGTTCCTCACCTATATGTCAAGAATAATCCATGGCAGCGGCCAATGGCTAGATGGTCGTTTCAATTGGCAGTATCTCTTAATTTCCAAATCAGCTGCTGGGAGGGAAATTGGGAAGAATGAAAAGATACCTACGAAACAAATGGCTGATTTTGTGCCTGAGTTAATGAGACGAAATTAGCCTCACCAAAGAACGTGTCAATCGCAGTTGTCCTCCTTAGGTCCTATCGGGCAAAATGTAGTTTGACTATTTGATTTGTATTTGTATTTTTATTTGTAGTTGATTGTTGACTATTGATTATGGAGAGCATGGACGTGCCGATGCTCCCAGGAACTAGTCAGGGAAGGACAGAATGCATTGAATCGTTTCTTTGCTCGTCATTCACAGGGCGTCCAAATCTGGGTGAAGAATGCACCGCCGCCATAGGATGCGCCAATCCAAACGCAGAATGCATCGCAAGCGGAGAGACGTCGACGTGCCAGTGCTCCCAGGGATTTGCCTTGGATGAGACAGAATGCAGTGAGTCGCTGGCATTTCTGCATTTACCCTTTCCCGGCTATTCACGGGAACCTCACCACATTCCACTTATTAAATTTTTAATTCGTTTGGATTCCAAGCCACTGCTTAAGCCTAAATTGGACGTACCATGAAAAATGCAACCGTGGCAGAGCGACATAGATGTGTGTTTTATTCTGGATTTGGCGAGAGTTGGTCTAGAGGAAATCCAGAAAAATGGCTCATGGCCTCTCCAAAATCGATGACATAATCCCCGAAGAAGGACAAGATTCCCGTCACCTTCTCTGTTGGCAGTCTGCGTTTCGCAGGACTGCAGTTTTCAATCCTCATTTTCTCTTTTCCTTTGTCTTGCAGAGGTGGAAGTAGGCGGACCGTGCACCGACGATGGAGATTGTGTGGACAACGCCGATTGCGAAGAAGACGATGGACAAGAAATTTGCGGATGCAAAAATCATTACATCGAGGAAGGCGGACGTTGCAGTGAGTTATCGGTTATTCGTGTAAATCAGAAATCGTGAGTTAGTGAGGCTCATTCGTCAAGCCGTCAACTTTCCTTAATTAGTACCGATACCTGCTGATTTAAGGAATGTACAAGTTGGGGTATAGCTGTTATCCACAAAATTATGATTGCTGAAATCCTTTCGAGACAAGTGTCCAAATCCTACATATTGCACTCGTCTCACCTTTCAGTTCGATTCCGGGAATATCCGAGGTTACGGTTGTAATTCGACATTTCATGAACATCTGAAGCGACAACATATGGGAAACGTATGACTTTTTGTGCAGAGGTGGGCCTGGGAGAGAAATGCGATAGTTCCGAGGAGTGTTTGCAAAACGCGGAGTGTCTTGGTCCGAATATGAAGTGCCATTGCAGCGAAGGATTCGTGGAACAAGACGACCATTGCGGTAAGTCGACGGGGCTGACAAAGTATCTTTGATGCTTCTTGAGCGGGAAAGCAAATTTTGCCGCTCGTGGAGTGGGGCTACCATACCGGAAGCGGGAGATTTCCTGCCCATCCATTAAGGTGGTTTTTCCCTCCCTCGTGGAACTCCAGCTGTCAATCCACCAAGTGTTCCTTCGTCTTTCGTAATGAGAGAGGGTAGAAGCGGGAAAGGCCTTGTCTATAAGGCGGGGGGGGGGATGTTTTCTGAGGTAGGCTCCGCACACGGTTGGAAAGATGAATGTTCCGGGAGCCATGCGGATGCATTGTAATGGCGCAGAAGGGCCCCTCTGAGGCTTGTACTTAAATGAATGGCATGGATCGCCTTCAAGATATGAGGGAGGCGTGCCAAGCTGTATCAATTTGTATCGACATTTCTCTGTCCCGTGAGAGTCGCAGTCGTCAAATAGTCAAACAATCAGGAGACTTCATGCCCTTGCTGCGCACTCGCTTGGTTTGAGTTCGCTTGGGGTCACCTGGAAAAGGCTACAATGTCGATTTTCGCTTTGTCTCGTGACCGAACTGGCATTTCCAGGACGCGTCAACAGTTATGATGTTGACGAGATCGGCCACCGTTTTACTTTTACAAAATGTCAAAGATCCAGTGCCCAGTGTCAGTCGGACGTCCGGCAGTGGTCCGCCTCAGGTATTTGTCCGACGACATTCGGCAGTGGCTCCCGACTCGGTGGACCCCGTTCGACAGTGTGATGCGTCTGCAAGGCTCCCTCACCCACAACGGAATTCAGCAAATCAATTGTGGAATGTCGACATCTCTGATGAATCGTTTCCGAAAGCTCATGCGATTCGGCAAGGCTCTGATGCTCACTAAGGCCCCATTTGAAATGCGGCTTGAATTTTTCCTCAGTGAGCTGCTTGGTTCGTGCGGGACGACATCGCAATTAATGCCAAATTAAATGCATGCCTGAACTCGTGACAAGCTGGTGACACCTGTGACCGTCAGCGAGACCCACCTTCTCCTCTAATGCAAGCCTAGACTCTGCAAGTGATCGATTAAGTTTGCCTGCGCCTGCGAACTTCGAGTGACTGCGTTCGAGGAATAGAACGCTAGCTTAGCTTTGTGTATATATTGAGGGAAATTTATCTCCAGCGGATATTTATGATAGCTGAAATGAAAACCGCAAAAATTCCATGATAAGAAAGATACTGTAGTATCGCAAGGTACATTTGCTTTTGACAGGATTTCCGGAAAATCTATGCGTAGATTCAAGACGCAGCTGAACTTATTCAGCCAGAGAAATTTGAAGAGGTGGAAATATGCCTCAAGCATGAGAGGTTTTGACTTCGAAAATGACTTTATGTATTGCTTTCTTAAAATGGGAACACCCTTGGAGAAGATATCTGTATCTCCATGTAAATACTGTAAAGTTTCCAACTTGACATGGCTGTCAAGAAAGAAAAAAAAGTGAAGCTGTTGAAAGAATAAAATACAAGGTATTACTTTATACAAGCAGAAAATTTAATTGGCGTCGCATTCACACGTGTAAGTCATTTCATGAAGGTTTTCGTGGAATTAGTTAAGAAAGTAAGAGCATCCATCCCAAATTAGGTGAAATGAGCGAGTGTGTCGACAAGCCTGACCAAGCTCTCTTCTCTTTGCACGATCTTATTTCCCGGTCCAGCCGAACGGGTTGGCGCAGATAGACATGCTCTTTCATTTCACATTGAAAAATAATATTAAAACTCTAACTCCGGTTATAAGGGACTGAGTTCGTACAATTTCTCAGGAAGCTATCGACATATACCGGTTGGGGCGTCCTGGAAATATTCCGGCCGATACTGAATAGCATATTTTATCCACTCGTGTGAATTTGGAACGTTTTATCAGCTTCTCGGAGGATTTTACATATAGGCTCCTTATCTGCTCTAGGAATGTTTTCATTTGAATGAAAATTTCACAATTCTTTTGTTCAAAGGACAGTTATTCAAAATAAATGCCTCGGATTCTCAAATTCGGTTTTGAGGCCACAACTAGGTGAAGTTCTTGGCAGATACCGAATTGGCGACCATGAAAGTTCAGAACTCTATTTTCATGCTAAAACGTTTTGCAGTGCCAGCTAATGGGCCAGGGCTGGGCGAACCCTGCGATCCAGCGTCCGGGAACTGCGCGACGGACAACGCATTCTGCGACCCAGCGTCCTCCACGTGCCGATGCGAGGGAGGATACATCCAGGTTGGAGACGCCTGCAGTGAGTTCAGTCTGCTTCCACGACTTTTAGATCTTAATTGCTCTGAAGCCTTCAAATTTTAATTGACAAGAATCGGTATGGTTTTTGGTAGGAAAACGAAAGCATCCGAGCTGAAGAATCAGTGAATTATCTCCCATGCAGAGTTATTACTCTTCCCAACATGGAGTAGAAGCATGAAGTTATTTCAGATGTGCCTTAGGGAAATGAAGCTAAATACCACGTTATGACGCAATTCGAGGAATGAATTATTCAATAGAAGTAATGAAATCATCCATGTGGCATTTCTTCATGGGGAAGAGACGCGCTCAAAGTGTCGAAGTTTACTTGTCGTCTTATATTAGGTCTCTCGCATGTCATTTGAATCGAAGAAAAAGAAAAGCTGAAGGGTGGATTTTTGAATAGAGAACTATCCGATAATGCTGCTTTACTTCCAGGAAATATGTATTTTCCTTGGAATGAAGCTGCATTATCGGATAGTTCTTTGTTCGAAAATCCACCCTAAAGTACTCAATGAAACCATCAAGAGAAAAATAAGTTTGTGGACGTAGTCGTACCCGAAAAGCGAGGAAGAGATTTGTCTTGAATTCGTCATGCTTTTAGCATTTTCTGACATTTCCTGAATTGATCCTGAATTGCATTCACACGTTGTGACTCATTGCCTTAGCACTCGATGAGAATCCGGGACACGGCGGAGGAGGGATCGGAGAGATGTGTCGAGTGGACGACGACTGCAAACGGGACGGGCACCTAGCCTGTAACCTCGCCCTTTTCAAGTGCGACTGCGCCGACGGATTCATCTTCAACACTGACATCCTCGTGTGCGGTATGCATCGGTCCTCTTGACGACGCGATACGCGAGAAATCTAGACTATATTTTTCTGAACGTTTGTTCTTTATGCACGGCCACACCTCTCATCCCAGTCCGACCAAACTTTGCGAGGCTTCCTCATTGGTCTGCGGATGGTCATATAGGCCAGGTGGCGTTTCAAAATTCGGACCCCCCACGGCGGGGCCGGCCCAAGACCGAATGGCACCCCAGGCGAGGAGCGTCTTTTTGGCTTCTGGCCCTAGGCGGTCGCCTGCCTCTAAATCCGGCCCTGCCTTGGGGTACCGTATTTAGACAAAATGGGACCTATACCTTAGTACAATATTCACCCATGCAACGACGGGTACCTCTGCTAGTATGAAATATTTGCATCTTTCGACAAAAGGAAAGGATATTTTCCGAAGCAGTAAAATATGGACCGATTTTAGTAATTTTCTATTATTAGAGAAACGATTTATTGTCTGACTTCCTAATGGCATGATTACTATAGGAGAAATAACCCGTATTCATACTAAAGTCTTCGTTGAAGTACGACTTTCCTGAGACTGCACCATTGCTCGTACAATTGTCATGTAGGTGAGGAGTGGCCGAAGTTACGGAGGTCTCACCACGATCAACCAGTTCGAATTTAAGTGGCTAGTGAAAATCACCGGAGATATTATATCATTTTAACAGCAAGATTTGAGGGGAAAGAGGAATGCAAATGGACCGAAATGTCCGTGAGAGAGACTCGAGAGAGTCCGTGGTAGGATGCTAGACCAAAAAAAGGTAGAATCCATGGCAGTGAAGGCCAGTGGTGCGTGCGGAGCCCGAGCGGTTCCAGCGGTGCTGCTCGACTGTCGTCGCAGAGGAAACAAACTCAATCGGGGCTTTCAAGGTTCGACAAAATGAGTGAGCGAACCTCAGCGTGAATGAATCGACGAGGTCACTATGGGGGCATTTCTCTGAATGACTCCACGGACACAGACTTAAGTGGTTTGAAGAGTCACTCGCTTGGATGCTCCAAAAAGCTGAAATGCCCACGAGTGCAGGAAATAACGGGCTATTTAAAGGGGTAGCAGCCAGATGAAAAGGTGATATGGAGGGGTGGAAGAAGTGAACCCCGAGGGCCCAGTGTGTCACACTTGAAGGGGTGAAAGGGCGAACCCTCCAAGGTTAAGCACATGACACGATCATCCCCTGTCACCAGCTAATGTTGTTCCCCCTTTTGGGAATGGATATGAGCAGAGAAATGACCATTTTAACGGTAAAGCACATACTTTACTGATCCAAGAACCTCTGGAAACTCAATACGCAAGATATGCATTAAGAAAAAACACAATCTTTTTCCGACAGATTTTTTCGTTTCGCGCAAAGTGGTGTTGCGAGGAGGGAGCTTGGCAGGGGGGGGAGTACTGATGCCCCCTACAAGTTTGCTTCCAATACCCCACCTATGGTTGAAAATCCATCGCCCCCCCCTCCCCCACTTCCCTCACACTCCCGGGTAGAAGTTACGGAAATTATAGCCCACCCCCCCCCCCCCCCCCCCCCCTCCGTTCCCCTAAGCTCAGCCTTAGGCGGGACCTTGGCTACGCCTATGTTCACGCGCTGCATTGATACAGCAGACGCCGGTTATTGTAATCATTGGTTATTATTATCAGCCGGATAAAGCGATCGAGTGATCCAATCTCGAAAACTAAAACCAAATCCCATATATCATGTACATTTTTCTCCTGATAATAATATCGCAATTCTCGGATAATGTGATCAACTGGAGAGGAAAAATGCGAGAGATAAAATGGAGACTCGCAAATATTTCTGTTTCCGTCGCTCTCTTTCCTACCTTTTGTCCTGATGTTTGGTCCCTCTCCCAAAAGTTTTCACTCCCACATCGCCCTCTCCCGTGGGTGTAAGCAAGAAGGAAACGGGAATTCCCTGATGTCGGGACTCCCGTTTCCTTCTCCGAGTTCGACCACTCTCAGCAGTTGCGTATCCTCAGGAGGAAAAGGTTACAGAATCTCTCGTTGAGGGATGATATTCTTTTGGCATCAACGAGAATGCTGGAAACACCCGCAAATTACATTTTAAATTTTACGACGGCCTGGAGACGAAAAATTCGAGGAGCTAGTAACTGCTGCCCGCACGCAAACCATTTGCGACGATAATTTCCGATAAATGCATCATCCGAGGAGGGCAATCCGGTAATTTGTTTGGAGTTTCCAGTTTTCATTGATCGCCGCCTATCGTTAACACCCACTTGATGTCATGAAATCCTGCACCGATGTGATGACAACAAGCGGCATCTTATACATCATATTAATTCTGGCAAGGCAAACTGCTCAAGTATGAATTCCACTTTCTGGTTTTCTCATCGTCATTGAGAAAAGTGAACATGTTAATCGAGAACGCTGCTTGTCCCACTTTCCTGCCATGGAAATGCAAATATCCTGAAAGCGTCTGCATGCATAAGGCATAACCAACCCCTCACCTCCTGATCGTAATCCATTTCTCGTCCTTTACCCATTCAAAGAAAAATAAGATTAAGCTTTCGTCCCTTGGAACACTCCAAACGCTCAGCTCTCTGCCTAGGAAGCTTTTGATTCTTTGGAAGCCGATAAGCATGGCGTTATCAAGACCACACCCCACCGATTCGCCTGCTTTCTAAGAAGAAAAGATAAGGGGACTGCCAATCTTCGCCCCCTCGTTGTCGTTGAACTTGAGATTTATGTCGCCGTGGAAGACGTCACTTTTTCTCAGAAATGGCTCGCCACATGCAGAATTTCTCCTTATCACTTTTTTTTTATAGAGAGAGGGAGAGAGAGATGATGCATAGCCTGTGTGGTAGCTATAAAAACAGATTTTTCATTCCCTAATGGAAAATATTTCTAGTAATCATAATGTATGTACGGAATGCGATGAGCATTTGTAATTACACCGAGGTGATCTGATCGATTTCCAGTTACTGGGAGAAAAGGCTTGGGAGACGCATGTACCAACGATGGGGATTGCAACGGGAATCTGCACTACCATTGCGACGAAGCCATGAAGATTTGCACCTGCGGGGACGGGTACCGGCTGGACGTGGAGACCCTGCAGTGTGGTAAGTCGAAACGCTCTCGCGGCGTCGAGGGGATGCAGTCCCTTTAAACTTTTAAAGGATTCTCGTGTCGCTGAATCGCGAAAAGTGATTGGCAGAGAAAAGCCCCGGGGGATTGGGGGACGAGTGCGCGACGGAGGAGGACTGCGACGCGGACTTCCACCTGGGATGCCACGCGGGGCTGGGGAAGTGCGACTGCGTGGATGGCTTCTCGCTTGAAAGTCTCACGTTTCGATGCGTCCCGAATCTTGCACGGTTCTAATTGCCTCACTCGGCCGAATGATGGAAAATAAAATTCCTCGAGTCTTATGAAATGTTTTTCACTGGGAATGTTCTTGCACCCTCTTCACGACGAGGAAGTGGTCGCCAGCTGATTCTCGAACAATGCATTGCTTCCCCTGATTCCGTCTGGCAATTCGGGTGTTACTACTAATCGTATGTTCCATACGTAAGAGGCTAATCTGTCCTTTTGTCATACCGGGAAACTCCTGGATTTTTATTGAGGTGTCAATTGGAAGCTTATGAGCTGGAGGCGATACTTGTTGGGCCAGAAAGCCAAAAAGTCTTGCCATTTTGATGTAATTGCGACGAATTTCGGCAACGAGAATGCAGAACCAACAACGAGAGTGGGAGGCATTGTCCGCCACGAACGTCGTTGCCATGCAACTGCTGGCAAGGTTGACTATTTTGTGTCGCTCTGAAGATGCCAGGAAAAAGGTGGAGAAGTTGAAACCATTCACGATCCACCGTGGAGTCAGCCGACTTGAGAGCAGCACGGCGTGCACGAGATGCGCCTCATTCCATTCGTGCGTGCGCGGGCTTCTTCACCGGTCCCGAATAACGAAGTTGATAGCCGAACTGAGAAGACCACAATGCTGTTCGGCCGTATCGGTTGGAGGCCTGCATTGCAGTCGACCTATTGGAGTGGATGTCAGATTGAAGTAAGAATCCCACTCGCGTTCTCTGTCGGTGTCATTTGTCCGCATCGGCGCGAGCACGCCATATTTCATCATCGCCGAATTTAATCCAAGTCCGTCGCTTTTCGTTGAAGGTGCTCGTTGCTCTTTCGTGTCGGTATGAGTTTCTTTCACTGCCAGGTTTACTAACTCTTAAAAATAGACCTCGGAGGTCACTCTCTCTTTCTCCAATTCACCTACGGTCAGGGACGTTCTGGAAAAGCGAATTCTCCTTGCGACGGCTTAGTCCTACGCATAAAATCTCAGTTGTCTGCCGGGTGCCACTAAAACATTCAGGTTTTTGCGGACCTTTTATTGCATGTACCGAAACCAATTTATATAAAACCAAACCGAAAAACTGAGCTGTTTCATTTAACTTTAATAAGAAAAATGCGGAATCCCAGGAAAATTCTATTCTCGGGTCAATTCTATTCATGATCCACTTTAAATGCGACTTTGGAGGCGCCAAAAGTAAATTAAAATATTGATTTAATTTGCTCGCCTATGACTCATGTCTTCGCATGAAGTACCAACGTCTTGTTTATTTACTTCGAAAGTTCCGTTTCCATTGAAAATTTTACGGAAACAAAAAAAGAAAATTGAAGTTAAACGCTTCTAGATTACTCTCCTTCCTGAGATCGGTCCGTTTCGATATGAGAAGCGAGCGGGTCCCCCATGCGTGGCCCAGTCCCAGAATTCATCCTCCATATTCTTCGCTTTCGTCGAGGAATGAAAAACTAAACATGTGTCCCCCTTTGGCAAAGATCGGCAGATCGCATCTCGAGCCAACGCCGACCGGAGTGGGACGGGCCGTCTCCTCTCATCACGAGCGCACTCTGACGACCTCGCCGTCCACACTGCACTGCGCGCGACTGGACGCAGCCCGCTTCGTGTCCGCGGGGTATGACGTGCTGGAGGCGCGGGAGCAGACAGGCGATAGAGCGAGGCGTATCGCAGATACTTCCGGCGCGCGAGATAAAGTCTATCAGTTTATGGCACTTGATGGCTTGGAGTCACATGGCTCCCAACGTGTCGCAATCGCCCATCCTTCGCCCTTCGTCCCGGATTCCCCAGATGCCCCGTGAGAACCGCGACAGAGGCGAAACGTTGCAGTTCCTCGCTTCCCCCCCGGATTCCACCTCGAAGAAATCGATTCCGGGGCGACCGGAGCCCCCATGACACAGTCCGTCGGGCGAAATGAAAACCTTTCTAGCCCTTTGTGCGACCTTGGCGATCTTGCCCTTCATCGATGCGCGTGAGTTCCCTTCTCTCGTATGCCATTTTCTCCCGTAATTCCGTCTCTGAATTGCTTCTCAATGATCCAATTAACCTTTAACCCGCCTCATTAGCCTTTAACCTTTGAAGGAGCGAATCTCACGTTCTTAAGGACAAATCCGTAAATACCCCCACTGCGAAATTACTGCATTTATTATGTGAATTAAGCGTGACGTCATGAATAGAGTCCGTTCTTTTCGCCAAGTTAAATTCTAACTTATATATTAATTCTAAGCTAACAAATGTTTGTTTTCGTAATTTGTCGGAGAGTGACTCCGTCTCTCACGTGGTTTTCTGAGGTTTTCACGGTTTTTTTGCCAGCGAAAAGACGCGCCCCAGCCTCGAAAGCGAGTTTTCGTTCGCGACGAACGCTTCGATGAGACGTCAGCATATTTTTAAATATGTATATCTGATCTCGATCTTCTGGGAGCATGACATCAGCTCGACAAAGAATTTCATATCAGAGACGGGGATGATTCGTCCTTTACATCTTATCTTGCACAAAGTCCGCCTGACTGACACGAGCCGGAAAACTGACACATGAGCCAGAAAACTGACACGCAAGCTAGAAAACTGCCTGCAGAGCTGGTCGGAAGGAACCCGGAAATTCCTGCATCTGATTTGCGTTATTGGGATGCATCGATAGTTCCGCATACTTTGCCCCAATTCCACTTCTTTTGCAGGGAAATTAGCGGGGAGAGTGCAATGGGAGACTCATAACACGAAAGGAAGGCTTTAATATATTTGAAATGAAATTTATTTCCCCGTCCCTTTGCGTTTCGAACGGAGCAGTCGCGTGGGCCGTTTCCCACCAGCTGACTCACACGGGACACACTCGAATGCACGTGGAGACCCGTCCCCGTGGCTGCTTCCCCGGCTCGCAAGCCACTCGGGCGAATTGAAAGGCCGGCGAGTGGAGCGAAGTCGGGGACGGCTTATCGTCCGTCTTTTTCTCGAGTGGGGCTAAAATATCTTGCGATAGTGGATGCAGGGGAAATCGGCCTATTTTTTGCACCTATGTTATACTATACATTTTGAAGACTTCATGAACCAGATCCATGACGAACGTGACTGATATGCTACGTCCTGTTACATCTTGATTTGTGGCCATTTGCTCTGGCCTGAGCCCAACGATTTTTCATTGTAATTGGCAAAATTTACTTGGGTCTAATATCGAATAAGGCCTCTGATCCCGGTCTCGAAGTTGGAACCGTGGTTCAGATGAACCGGACAGGCAATTTTTTAAATATCGGTATTCTGCTCGGGCCTCTTTGAGCGTGTCGGTCAGATAACGAGCTCGCCCGGTAAGAAATAAATCAAATTCTTGTTCACCTTGACACTTTTGAATCGCGAACGGTCGACAAAAATGAGCCACTGTCACCCTCTTTCGTGTTCCGACAGCAGATGGCAAAAACTAATTTGTTCCTTAATTAATTCTTTGTTTTATAGACCGTTAAAGGTTCGCTTACCTCCAACCGTTTTTCCTCAAGCTTCATTTAAAAAAAAACTTGAATTTATTTTGCACTCGCACCGCGACTGACCTTCGACACCGAGCGTAAAATTCCCCGAAGGCTTCGTGTCCCCGTCCAGTACCAGTTTAAAAAGCGACAGGACCGTCTGTCTAGTCCAGCACGGCGCTTGGGACCCCGGCGAGGGAGAATTCGGAGACCCTTGCCTCGAGGACGCGGACTGCGACAAGGACGAAAATCTCGCCTGTAACGTGACCGCTTTCAGATGCGAATGCGCTCGGGGATTCGTGTTCCGCGGGGATTTCGGCATGTGTGGTATGTGCTTCTTCCGCCCTTTCCGTGCTCGCGAAAGTAAAAGTAAAACGAGTCGTGATGCAATTCCGAATCAGTCGAGCCGAAGGCGATAGGACCGAATTTTTCACTCAACGATTTTGTCTCGATGCAGCCCTACTCCCTCTTCGATCTGGGACTGAATGAATGAAAAAATCTTCCGAAGGCCATGTGGGCTCCTTTTCTCACTTTCTGACTCATTCCTCACATTTTCGGTACTGCTGAGCCAGAAATTAAAATGTGTGACCCTGCATGGCATGGTGAAGGTTAACAGTAGAGAGATAATAAAAAGTAAAAAAAAAAAAGTTATCTGCTAGAAGGACCATGGAGGTCAAAATGACCACTGTTGATTTTTGCAGGAATGCAGGGAAAGGAGAAGATCCAAATGCAATAGTTCATCGGGCTTAACGGTGAGACATTTTACCATTCTGTCCTGCGAAGCTCACGCGCGTTGCTCGGAAGAGATACGCTGGTTCTTCATCACTCGATGGAAAATCGAAATAACTAGTTCCATTATTAGTACCATAATTTCAATGGAACCTCATGCTTACGTTTCACGGGCGTATGATGACTCCGTGGAGATAATTGTGAACAAGAGGATCTCTATGATATTTGCAATCCTGGTACTATTTCTCCTGATGACCTGGATGTGACAGAGAATCCCTTTCCCCATAATCTTGGTGCGATTTCTATGCGCCAAGGTATGGCAAAATGGCCTTGCAATCCTACCGTGATAAATTTCGAATTTCCATGATGTCACTTTAACATCAACTACCACCAGGAAAATGCGACCATGCAATCCATCACTGGTTGCTTTGCCCTAATACGACAAAGTGATTATTAAGGTATACGGGGTACCTTCTAGTCGTGACTGATCTTCAGACACATTTCGAAGAGTTGGGTCGCTGGCTCCCAGGTTCCATCCCACTCTTCCTGGGCTTCGTTCGAAAACCCAAACCATTTCATGAATTCGCTGAGACGGGTGACGGCTGTTCTCTTTTTGGTATGTGCTGGTGGTCGTTCGATGGTCATCCAAAAAAATCGATGATGTGCCTGCATGCGAAAGCTGAAATAAGATTGCATTTAGCGTCCCTCCTTGTCGAGTGAGAACGGTAATCAGGTATTGAATTTAGTGAAAGTTAAAAATTAGAATTAAACATTTCTTGCCCTCCTTCGAAGCATGGGAAACTGCAAAGTTTCCAAGGTCGCAGCCACCGGCCAACCTGACCTACCTCTTCTAGTCCATTTGTAGGCCAGACTCGAGTGGTAATATGTAACAATTGCGCTACGTTTCGAGAAATCCAAAGACGGAAGAGCAAAATGGGTCGACATGACCCCATGGTCCTTCTAGTGTTCACAAAGGCCCATATATCATGTTCATCGGTCCAGTTATATAACTGTTGCATGTGTGCTCTCAATTTGGCACTTGGTAGAATTTCATTATCATTTTCCATTAGTGAGCATTTGCATTCGGTAGTATTCACAGTTTGAAGTGCATGAATAAATCATGAACAAATGATTCAAATTATCCCAAAAAAATGTCCGCCCGGGAACGAATTATCTCCATGTTTCATCCGACTGTTCCCTTAGTACAAGAAGGAAGCCAGGATTCTCACTTGGGAGAGCTTGGAGACCCCTGCCAACGAGACGAAGATTGTCGCTCGGATGAATACCTTGTCTGTGATATGGACCATTACGTGTGTAACTGCCCAGAGGGCTCTTTGTTCGACGGTGACATCCGCCAGTGTGGTATGTATTCGTCCTATCTTCTTTAGCATAAGAGTTTTACGAGACTACGTTCTTTAAAAGTGAGGAAGCGAGACTTTCGGGCCTACGAATAGACAGAGTTTTAGGCACTAAATTGCAATTTCGTAAGAAAACATCATGACTTTTCTCTTAATTAGGAGTTGTATTTGCTTTACGATGCAGATGTTTATTAATAAGAATACTCGCTTATTCGTTGTGAGAAGGATTATGTCTAAGCCGGCAATTTTATGTTTTCCATTTTTTTCTCTGATATGAGTAGCTTTTGAAGAAACTATTTGATGAGAATCACTTCTCGATTCAGGTGACGAATTGTTTCCCGGTTAAATCAAACACGCAAAGGGTATCTGTAGAGCTTTACTTCCAGTCTAAAGCATTTGAGCGAGGAGTTAAAGTCCTACCTGCTCGTTAACTCTAATCATTTTGCGACAAACATAGAACAACTGTTAGACTTTCAAAACGTTTTCCTCCAAGAATTGATTATGGATGTTCTTCAAGGGACTTGCCTGGTTTTGGCCGAAAAAAAAAGAATCTTATCAAATTTGCTGAGTGGCTCAAAAATATTCCCAGCTTCACCTTGCCTTTGATGCCATACCTCATAAAGGAAGAAAATTTTATACAGTTTAATCATTATTCTGTTTGCCTTGGGCAACATCATGATCACAACTGACGTGATGGACAAGTTAGTACGAAAGCTATCAAGGATATTTGGCTTCCGTCTTTCGGTGAGAGACGAGCTAAATCATTTCAAAATATTTTACTCGAAAACTTCCAAGCCCAACTGGCAGAGAGAAAATTCAGATTCGCTATTAATGAAAGACAGAACGTTGTCTAAAACCTGCAACCTGTTGTGAGAATTCCCAAATTCTAGATATAACAAATTAAAACTGCTGGAAATTTTTTCCTCCGGACCCTGTGGAAATTATGACTCGAAGCAAGCATACTTAGAAAATTACCTAAATTCTCATGCATGTATCGTGTCTGTCCAGGCAGATATTTGTTTAGGAAGGCGGGCTGATTTACCTTCAAGATATTGGCACACCCTATGCTTCTACTCAATTTTTTTGCATCAACAATCGTTATTCTTTGCATTTTGAGAACCATTGATTTATGACGGAAAATATTGCTTGCTACTTATCGCTAGAGAAATTCGTGGTCCACCATTAGCTGATTTACACAAACATTCAGTACCTTATTTTCTGATTTCTAAATGAGAGCTTCAGTTGAAATACTTGCTACTGCAGGCTGGATTCCATTTTTGTCTTTCCTTAAGGTCTGTCACGGGTTTATTTCGGTAGGAACCGTGAGATGACGGTCATATTACCAGTCAAGATAGAAGCTTACTCCGAGTTAAGGTTCATAACATTTCAATCGCGTTTTGTTCGTCATGGGTCTGAGCTCTCTGTTGGGACTATTTTCGCAGTACTTGAAGAAAGTTGGGAACCTTCTGAGGGACAGTTCGGGTATCCTTGCCTCGAAGACAAAGACTGCGACGAGTACGAAGCCCTCGTCTGTAGCATGGAGATTTCCAGGTGTGTCTGCGCCGACGGCTATGTCCTCAACGTCGACACCCTTACCTGTGGTATGTCCTTTCCTTTGCCCTTTATTCCTGTCGCCTTCGAATGTCGCGGTTATTCTCGCGGAAGGGAGATACGAAGTTTTACAAGTGAAGTGATGTGAAAAGCATTTCTCAAATACTTTCCCTGTTTTTCAACCCCTCCCCCTCTACGGTCATTGCGGCGTTTCCATGCACTCAATTAATTACAGTACGAGTTAATTACGAGTTGTCAGAAGAGACGAGGGGATTCACCAAGTCCAGGCTTAACCCGCTAAAAATAATCTCAACTCTCGACTGGCAGGTCAAAGAAAAATAACCAACCAAATTGGAAGTCAAACTTAATTAAAACGAGATCCTGCTTTTTTTTCCGCAACCAGGGGAATTTTTCAAATTTTCTGAAGTGTGATTCTGTTTTCAGAGTGTATGAAGCATGCCCGGTTTCGATATTCCAAAAACTCTCAGAGAGGAATACTAGGAAAGGGAATAGACAAGGCCTATTAAACGACACTAAATCACAATTTTCAGAGACGTCACCTCTTCATTTTTAATCCCTGGTAATGAAATTTGTTTCACTATGCAGATCAATACGTTGAAATGTTGAGGAAAATTGCATTAAATTCGATGCTAATTCTATTTAATTGCACCGAAAACCCATAGAAGCACACTGTGACTAAAGTTTCATTTCTCAACTTCCTTTCGTTCGTAGATCTGAGTGCTCAATTGAACTATTGAAAATTTTCCTAGAATTTGATGAAAGTTGGGAAGCTTCCGAGGGACAGTACGGATTCCCTTGTCAAGACGATGAAGACTGTGGCGAGGACGAAGCCCTCGTCTGCAACGCGGAACTCTTCAGATGCGACTGCGCTGATGGTTACGTCTTCGACGCCGACACGCTTACCTGCGGTATGCATTCATTACTTCCGCCTTTTGTTGAAGTCGCCTTCATTCAAAATCAATCAAAGCTTACGGCGGTCATTCTCACAGAAGAGGAAAACGAAAACTCATCCAATGAGAAATTACTAATACAAAACCGTTTCGTGCAATACGGATATGCTTAGTTCCGAGGCACAGAAGCATTCACTCCTAGTTCTGCGAATGGCGATAAAGCCAGTATCAGAAACGCGTAACATTGAGGGTTGAAGGAGAGAGAGCCAGGAAGAACCTTTTTCCCATCCGCAACAACTGCACGAAGAAGCTGTGAAGATAATGTCGTGATAGAGGCGCTTACTCGCCTGTTCTATCTCGTATGGCAAACACTCAGATATTTATATATCATATCTCGGACTTTTTAATACTTTATATATCATATATTTATATATCATATCTCGGACCTGGGATTCTTTTTAATTTTTTTCCCATTGTACATTGATATTATGTCATTAATGAAGATTTTCAGAAAACCGCATTCTGAGTTAGTTCGGCCTGGAGTCAAAATACAGAAGATTTAACGCAGAGTGTAGGGAGTTTTCCGCTCAGATTGCATGATCCCATTCAAAATTAACATTTCAACGACCGATCGACACCTTCATTGAGTAAAGAATAAAAATTTTTTTATTGACCTTTCCCTTGCAACATAAGCCCTCATGGAGTAGTCTGACGATAGAATCCATTACGTGCCCCAGTCTTCAGCAGAGTTTTGTGGCGCTGTTTGTTTTTCGGTAAAAAAGCCAAAAGCAGATTCGGGCAATCGAGAATGCTCCAGTTTCTCTCTCTGGTCAAAAATGGACCAAAAAGCAACTGGAAAGCTTTCACCCCGTCGGTCGAGATGAATTTCTTGTCACCGAGCGTCCAAGCGCATGATTCGGCCAGATAATTTTCAACGACCCGCTTACATTCTTCCATCCGAGTAGGAATATACGATATACAGTACATAAATATAAATAGGGCCTGTATATAAATATACGTTTGCTTTTCCATGATGAAGACTCGAAAATTTCTGGAAATATTTGAATCCATTCAATTCGGGTGTATGCATATGCGTGTTCTGAAGGAAACTGTTCCTGTGACGCAACGAGTTGCTAATACTTGGTGCATGATGATCTGAAATAATTGGTTTTGTATTGACAGAGAGTATGTTGGACCGGGAAGTTAGAACTCTGTTAACGGTGCTGCATACGATGGAAACCTACATCGTCGCAGCGATGGAGATCTACGATTTACCGCTCGAGGAGGTCATCGTCAGATGGACTCCGGCACTCCCGTTTCCGGAACCGGTAAATAAGTATTTATTTATTTATTCGTATTATGTATGTTTTATTTATTTTTATTTTTTATTTTCATTTGTTACTATCCCTGTTCAATGCGTGGCTGACCCGAGCGTGTCTCGATTGGCAGTTGGTGTATACGGTCGTCTGGAAGAGGGTTGCGGAGATGGAGACCGCAGCCTGAAATGCGACGATGTTGGGAAATCTTCCTACTGTGATGCTTTCATCTGATTAGCTGTATCGTTCGGAATGATGATGGAAACTAAATTCTCAAGTAACTCTACTTTCGCAGTGCGATCCTTTCAATCGTGAGGGGGCCATGACTAGATCTTGGACCGCACTTTTTCGAGTGCTGAATTTTCGAGTCTCGGATCCAGTCTCACCGGAGGGGAACATACAGAAGAAACAGAACAAGGACGACATACGGAATCCACGACTTCCCTTGGACAAAAATTGGGGGGAGGGAGCCTTCAGTAGACCGTTTTTATATCGCCTGGATGGAAATTCTGTTCTGTGATTGTTGTAGAGGTCCTCAAGGAAGGCTTCCGGAGCCCCTCACGGCGGGTCACAGGTGAACCGCATAGCCATAAAGTAGGGTCAAAAGTCACCGCAGACCCCAAGATACATAGACTATCAGATAGGCTCGAGTGGCTCACGCGCCTAGCGGCCGAGGAGGGAGCGCAGTCACTTGAGGCACGTGAATGTGCGTGTAGTGACGTCACAGCTGGGATATGATTCGCCTTTAGCTCGCTTCGATAGGGTGGGGGCTTGCTTTGGGGATATATTAATTTTCCGAACCACTTGGTCAAGGTTGATAGGCCAGGAAGTGGAATTTTCTGTTCTCGAATTTTCCGTTCTGTTGTTCTCGAACGTATGTGAATGCTTTGGGGGAGAGAGCCCTGAGACACAAAGCCTTCACCAATTCGCCATGACCCCATTGTTTTGGCCTCTTTCCTCCCTTGAGAACATGTAATTGTGCAGAAGAAAAATGTCCTTCCAACAATTTTACACGAGCGCTTTCTTTTTTTCGTGAATTGGAGAACTCGGCAAGCTTTTTCTTGATACATTTCACATCCTTCTTGAGTTTTAGATTTTCTAACCTAACTCTTTGTAATTTTACTTTCAGACCTCATAGAATCCTGATTTTCAATTTCAATTTCTCTCTGATTTCAGGGCAACATTTTGATGGAATTGAGAGATTTGTCGTTTCAGATATCTCCTCACTCTGTCTCATCAATACCTCAATTTGCATTTGATCTTGATCAAGGTGTGGAGGTTCATCAAGACAAAGTGGAATGGGCGATTTTTTGTAGAAGCTTGTTCTTATGTCCCCTTCATAGTCACTAGGAAGAAAGTGATTGGAGCAAACAAAGCTCCTTGTCCTATCCTGCAAGTCCATTCGGTCACAA